ATGGATGGATGGATTCTAAGAGAGAAAAGAGAGAAAAGAAATTTTGCTTTAGATTCTGTCACACACTGAGTATAGTTTGCACCATATTAGCTATTATTAATTGTCAGTGTAAAACAGTAATGTAACAGGAATGTTTCTCGGAAAACAAAAACTTCACAAACCTTCTCAGTGTTTTGGCCACGTTTCTAGTCCAAATAATTAATCATGAAAACAATCAGAATAATCAGTAAATACAACAACAGTTGCAGCCCTGGTTTAGCTGCACGTCATGCAGCTTAACATAAACCTGTCTAAGACTACAAACACAAGCAAACACCTATTACTACTAATGTTTCAGCAAACACGTACACAGGCAGATAAGCACTTTAGCCGGTGCACTTTCTTGTGTATTATTCAGTAACGTATAATAAATGTGAAAAGATCAGTTCTGCACATTGTTCCAAACCAACGCTTGTGCTGCTAGGAACACAATACAGCCCAAGTGTTGAGAGCTACATACTTCCACACGCTGTCTTTGAGTCGGATTTCTGACTCTAGCACCATGCAAAGCTCAGCAGGGTAGAGCTCCAGCGCTGCCAGGACAAGATTTGATTCCTTCTGGACTTGCAGATTAACTAGTCTGGACACACTTGAACATGCACTTTGCTCAGTTGTTTTTCTATGTGGGTGCAACCCAATCACATCCCTGATGTCTTCCAAAACAGAGAGGACGTCTGACCATCACAATATTCATGTTCTATTCTCCCTTCTGCCTCAGTTTTAGCTGAACAACTGTTTAATAATGACCAATAGGCCCCAAACAATGTGAAAACACAACATCTCTGTCCATCATAGCGGTTTCAGGCTTGTTAAATCAGTACGTACCTGTAGAGCAGAAGACTGTTTTTGAGGACTGGTGTTTCTGGTGGAGAAGGTCGCACTCCTCTGGCAGATTTCATCATCACGTTAACTCCACATTCCACAGTGGACGGTAGAGCAGGCAGGTTTGTTATGCCAGGAGGGCAGTTTGGCAATTTTGGGGGTTTGTTAGGTCAGGGAGGAGCTGAAAAACATGTTTTGGGAGGTGATTTTAGAGCTCTCAGTTGTTGTGTTATTAAGGATTTGTCTTTTTGTTGATGTACGAGAAACTAAAATGTGAAGATGATCTAAAATGTAATATACAAAGTTCTGTATCTCTACCTGAAACAGTCGTGGTGATTGTCTGTATGTGTATGCAGCTTTTTCTGAGGTGAATGTTTAAATAGGTGTGTAAACAATTCAGTGAGCAAATATAACCGTGGAGCTGCTGGCAGGCTGCAGTTGTACATAGTGAATGTGTACAAGTGGATGTTGACAACAACAAGTGTGCTCGGCTGAATTCAAGAGAAAACATTCCTAATGTGACTCCTCCTTTGTGTCTTCTCCCTTCAGGGTGGCAGCTCTGGGCCTGGCTGCTGGCGTGCTGCTGGTTCTGCTGCTCTTCTGTCTCTACCGGGTCCTGTGCCCGCGTAACTACGGCCAGAACGGCGTTGCTCACGGACGCCGGCGCCGAGGTGATCTGCCCTGTGACGACTACGGCTACTCGCCGCCGGTCAGCGAGATCTCACCGCTGCTGCTGAGGGGCCACAGTATGGTAAGAACGGGCTCATGTAGGGAATAAAGAAGAAACAGAAAGCAGCTAAATGTGTTGGTATTTATCATAGATAATATTCAATCAGCAGAGCATGATGTTGTGTCCTTACAAAACCAAAACTGAAAATATACAGCCAATGTTTTTAGTGTTTGTCTTTGACACCTTGGTTGAATTTGTCAAAACAGCGAGCACGAGGCAAATCTTTACTGAGACGTCTAAATGACAATTAATTGCCTTCTTACATTTCACCACTGACAAATATCTCCCATATTGTTTTTAGAAATAATTAAACTAATACTGAGTGTGATAAAAACTAAATAAAAGCCAAAACACTTTTAAACAACCAGTCCATCTACGTCCCAACCCTCACCTATGATCACGAGCTTTGGGTCGTGACCGAAAGAACGAGATCGCGGATACAAGCGGCCCAAATGAGCTTCCTCTGCAGGGTGGCTGGGCTCAGCCTTAGAGATAGGGTGAGGAGCTCGGACATCCGGAGGGAGCTCGGAGTAGAGCCGCTGCTCCTGCTCGTCGAAAGGAGCCAGTTGAGGTGGTTTGGACATCTGATGCGGATGCATCCGGAGAGGCTTCCTCTGGAGGTCTTCCAAACACGTCCACCTGGGAGGAGACCTCGGGGCAGACCCAGAACCCGCTGGAGGAATTATAGCTCTCGGCTGGCCTGGGAACGCTTCGGGACCCCCCCAGGAAGAGCTGGAAAGCGTCACCGGGGGGAGGGAAGTCTGGAATGACCTGGTCCGCCTACTGCTCCCACGACCTGACCCCGGATAAGTGGGAAAAAAAGGATGGATGGATGGACTTTAAAACAATAAAACTCATCTGCAAGGAGTTTGCTCCTTGCAGATGAGTTTTCACTCTGAAAACTAACAGAAACGATACTAAATTAAAAAATAAAAAACAAATTCTGAAAAAGAACCGTTCGTGTCTGCAGACTTAGGGTTATGAAGTGCTTTTATTTTTTCCCGAGTGTTGATTTGTATTGTGGAGAAAAAGAATTCACTCGACCGTTGACAAGTGGAAACCTGACAAACGCTGACACCTGCTACTAAATGATTTAATGTTAATGAACTCAGTCGCAAATTTGCACACACTGTAATTATAAAATTGCTCCTTTTGTAATTACTTAGATGTAGGTGTGAGCAGTTCACCAGAGGTGTCAGATTACAGCGTCAGTTTGGAAGATGACAATAACAGCGGGAGTTCTCGCTTTCAATTAGGGACACTTAAATTAAAAACAGCAAACTAGTTGTGACTCCCAACATCGACATTGACGCCTGCACTCAGCCGCGTGACGTCAGAATCACAATGCACCAATAAACAAAGTAATCGTGAAACGTAGGTTGACAATTTCAAGGTGGTGGGAAAAAAATACTGTTGACATTGTAGAATTAGTTTTTATAGGATCGATTCAGTGTTGTTGAAGCTGCTTCCTGCTCTGTCTGTCCTGCAGGACATCGAGTGTTTGGCCAGTGACGGGATGCTGCTGGCGAGCTGTTGCCTGGCCGGACAGATCCGGGTTTGGGATGCACAGACCGGGGACTGCTTGACCGTCATCCCAAACCACGGGTGAGTCAGACATAATCACAGCATTGGTTCCTTTACAAAGACCTGATTATATTTGTAGCTATGGTGTCCTCTACAATTGTCCAGAATTTAGACAATCAGTTTAGCCTCCTGTGCTATGAAGAAGCTGTTTTCTGATTCTTTTAATTTTATTACTGTATCTCATTGCTTCTCAAATCAAATCAAGTTTTTTTTGTCATGTTGCTGTACAAACAACATTAGTACAGGCAAGATGAAAGAGCGTTTCTCCAGGATCCAACAATCCAATAAATGAAAGCAATTAAATAAAGAAGTGTGTGCATATACGGATCAGCAGTTCAGCATTCTGACAGCTTGAGGAATGAAGCTGTTCATCCTTCCATATATCACGTTCTACATATTTAGTTCTGCAACTGTTAAAAAAAAAGATGTAAATCTCAGATAATTCATGCTGATGTCCCATAATGTAGTAAAACATTTTTAGAACAAAGTTTTTTTGAATTGTTGGGGTCAAAATCTGTACTGAGCAGAAAAAAATTGCTAATCTTTGGCTTAAAAACTACCTCAAACATTTCTATACATATTTCTGTGCTGCAGTGTATCGGCTGGCGTATATATAGGTAGCTGCTAGAAGTTAGCATCATCAGTTAGGTCGAGTTATCTCAATAAAGCCTTGTAGCTAACGGAGTTGTGTGTCTCCTCCTCAGGCTGAGGCGGAGCAGCAGCAGTGGTTGCTGGGAGCAGCGTGACGGCTGGGACAGCATGAGCGCGGTCACGGATTCGGAGTGTTTGGGCTCCGAAGGTCGAGACCCCTCCATCAGTGGTGACGGCCTGTCGGAGGACGAAGGCTACCCGCTGAGACGCCGCACCGCGCCCGCCAGGCCGACTCTGTTCAACGACCAGCCCGACCTCACCCCCCTCATTGACACCAACTTCACGTCCCTGCCCCCCTCCCACCTCTCCACCCCACCCAGAGGAGGCTTTGACTTTGGAGGTCTGGTGGAACGCGCCTACATGGAGCACGAGCCCCCGTCGCCGTCTGCCTACCCCTCTCCTTCCTCGGCCTCGTCCTCGCCACCTTCAGCCGCTCACCTCCAGAGAAGACCGAGCTTAGGGGACGCAGTCCCTCCATTAGCACAGGAGAGAGTCTTCACAGCAGGGACACAAGCGACCGCAGACTTTGAAAGCTCGGTCTGGGCCATGGAGCTGAGAGGAAACCTGATAGCTGCTGGGAGGAGCAGCGGCAAACTGGAGGTGTGTAAAATGATACCTGTAATAGAAAATCGACTTCCATATCTCCACACCTCTATTGATTTTTAGGACATCTTCAGACTTTTAAGAATCCAGATTTGAGTCCGATGTGTTGCAGTACGGAAACGTCTAAAACCTGCAGGACAGGAGCTCACGAGGGCCGGAGTTGGAGATCTCTGCACTAGAAGGACTGTATAGAGACGCAGTGTGATACGATGCACAAGATAGTAAATAACATGCTGGAAACTGAAAGTAGCAGCGTTTAGCGAGAGCTAGGAAAGAAGGTTTTGACCTGTTTCCTAAATCATCATCTAAAATGTGCACTCACTGGTAAACGTGTCATATTCATGTAAAATGAATGTCCGCTCATTTTTGGTTCCAGCTGTGGGATGCAGTGGAAGGGTCACTACGCTGCAGTAATGAAGACGGTGTCTCTGGGATCACAGCCCTGGCCTTCCTCAACAACAGGTAGAATACACAGAAAACACACACAGGCTGAACAGTGCTTCCTTTCCTCTCTGCAATGTGACGGTTTTTAGTGCCATTTGTTGTTTTATTTAAGTGCTATTCATGTGTGTAATTTTATTGCTTTAATTGCAGACGTCTGTTACTGTATCATAAAACTGATCCGAGCACAGTGTTTACATGGCGTTCACATCACACGCACACTTCATTAAACGGTGTCAGTCAGCTACTTTCAACTGAGTGAATAATACATTAAGTGCAGTTCGACTCTACAACCTTTACATGAAGAGTAATGTGACGTGGATCACTGCACTTACTGTCAACACTTGGTGGTAAAGGATGATCGTAGTGGGTTCAGAGTTTCTGTGCTTCTCCTCTTCCTCCTCAGAATCGTAGCGGCTCGCCTGAACGGGTCCTTAGATTTCTTCACTGTTGAGATCAATAAGCCTCTGGGTCTGCTGCAGTACAGAGGTGAGGCTCAAAGGGTTTGATCACATCTGTGTTTTCCTGTCAAGTAGTGTTTTTAGTTTGGAGTACAACTCTACATTTTGGTTTCATGATGCTGCATAAATGGTATCCCTGTATGATATGATGAATATTTGACATTTATATTTTTATCGTTTTATGCCTCCGTGCCAGCCACAGCCAAGGCTGAAGGTATTATGATTCTAGGTTGTCCATTCGTCTGTATGTTTAGCCTGATCACAGTTATTTGAGCAGCCCATGATCATTCTACATAGTTGTTAGGACTGTTTCCATTCACCTGTATAAAAAACAACTCGGTGAAACTAACTCAATCACTGTCTCCACGTTGTTTTCCACCATGTGCACCCCCTTCTTCTGATATTTACACATTTTGCTTTAAAGCCAAATGAAAAAAGGAGAGCCCGATAACTGGGAGGAGGCAACTTTTTTTTTTGGTTATGCTGGAAAAAGGTGGTGCTCGAAGGCACTAATATACTAATACCACTAACAGAGGCATTAACAGAATACAATTAGTCTGTTGTTTGTATGATCATGACAGAACTACCATATGTCTGTTTATCCGTTTCATTCTCAAACGTGTTATACTTTTAAATGCCTGGACTGTAGTTTTTCAAATTTGAGGCACACTTTTAGTCGGACTGAAATAACAAAAAGGTGCAATGGGGCTGTTGGTGGATGCATACATTCAAGATGTCAGGTGCACTTAGTTGACTCCCTTAGATACTAAAACACCAAAATATGTTTCACACATCACGACATATAAACCCACACGTTTACATTTTTAAAAAGAAGGAACAGAAAGAAGATGTACTCATGAACGTTCCTGATCATTTCTTTCTCCGCCTCCTCCTCCTCCTCCTGCAGGCCCCCCCGGGCGAAGCAGCATGCCGCCGTCTCCCTGTTACAGCAGCGAGGACGTGATCAGCTGCCAGCTCACGCGCTCGGTGCAGTGCGCTCACCAGAAGCCGATCACGGTGCTGCGAGCGGCCGCCGGCAGGGTCGTCACCGGCAGCCAGGACCACACAGTCCGGGTAAGTTTAGCAGGATTTGTAGGAAGAACTATCACCTGAAGTGAAGTGCAAAAACATTAAAGATGCTCCAACGCCGACATAGGAGTGTTTTTAACGTGGAAACTTAAGAGGATGCAGATTTCCTACCCAGTGGAAAGAAAAGGGTTACAGCAGTAGTCGTATGAGTGATTGCTTGTGTTAAAATGTCATATATGTAGCAGCTGATTTCTCACACAGAGCTGCAGAAAAAGATCAAAAGAACCATGTCACTTAGAAATCCTGTGTCTGTGTGTCGGTCAGGTGTACCGTCTGGAGGACTCGTGCTGCCTCTTCACCCTGCAGGGTCACTCTGGAGGGATCACAGCCATCTACATAGACCAGGTCAGAGACACGCCTTCCTTTAATACACAATCACAGTTGGTTAACCAGGAAATAACTTTAATATAATTAATATGTAGATGTTTTGCAGCATTGATGGTGATAATATTTTGTACTGTACTGATAATAGAGGCTGATATGATGCCGTGAAAAACCTACTCAGTCTAAATGATGTAATTTGTCGTTCCGTTCAGACGATGGTTCTGGCGAGCGGCGGGCAGGACGGCGCCATCTGCCTGTGGGACGTCCTGACAGGAAGCCGTGTCAGCCATGTCTATGGCCACCGCGGTGACGTCACCTCGCTGGTCTGCACCACCTCCTGCGTCATCAGCTCAGGACTGGATGACCTCATCTGTATCTGGGACCGCAGCACCGGGATCAAGCTCTACTCAATACAGCAGGTACTGGACGTGTTTTTGTCTCGTCTGGTTGCTTCTTACCTTTGATCCTTTAAATCAGTGATGCTCAAATATTTATTTAATGCAAACCAGCAAAAACAGAGCAGAACCTTCGCACCAACAGAGCCAGAAACTACTGAGTGAAGCAGCAGACTGTAGCTATAGGTCATTATGGCTGCCTGGAAAATGTATGAACAAGCGTTCCAGTGTATTTGCGTGTTATATTTACATAGGTATGTACCATGTAGGTGCAAAAATAAAGTTACGTATGCAGGCATGTGTGTGCATATGTATGTGTGTTTGTAGGCAGGTATGTACTGTATGCAGACGCACGTGTACATACACAAGTAGCGAACATACACACACAATAAAGATGACGTCTGCAGTCCTGGAGAGGCTGTTGATATTTAGCTACTTATCATATTTCGATAGCTGGCACGTCCCTCTCTGTCCTCCTGCTTCCCTCCCTGTCCTGTGCACAAGCTTGAACGTGAACGCTGATTGTATGAATCCATCTGAGCCACTGTGTTTGATTCCTATCATCCTTCTTACATTTTCTCTTCTCCTCACCAGGAGGTGGGTTGTGGGGCCAGTCTGGGAGTGATCTCAGAGTCTCTGCTGGTGACGGGGGGCCAGGGCTGCGTCTCCTTCTGGGACCTGAACTTTGGCGACCTGCTGCAGACGGTCTACCTGGGCCAGAGCAGCGACGGTCAGGGGGTCCGCCAGCTGCTGGTGTTGGACAACGCTGCCATCGTCTGCGACTTCGGCAGCGAGCTCAGCCTGGTCTACGTGCCGTCAGTGCTGGAGAAACTGGACTGAGGAGCGTCAGCGGACAGAACAGCCGGTTCTCGCTTCGTTTTGTTGTTTCTGACATTCGGTTGAGACGCGATCCTTAGACATAAGGTGTATACGAGGCTATTTTTTATAGCAGTGCGAATTTTCTTTTGTATTTTTTCGAGTCTGGATGTGATGAGGATGCAGCCTGCTGCATTTTAACGGAGCCGTCGTCTTGTCATGAGCGAGGGTCGTGAGGTTCGATAAAGAAAAGCTGGATGTTTCTTACTTAAGGAGAATCGGCCGGTTCCCAGTTTGTGCTTTTTGTGTGCGCGTGTTTTGTGGCTCTGCCCTCTATGCTGCTGACATGGGTGGGGCTTTACTGTGACCCCACCCGCCCAGAGAGGGACATTAAAACGGTCTCCTCGTTTTTAAATATTCCTGCTGTGCCGTTCGCTCGACAGCGAAGTGCAGCGACAGTGAGCTGAACTGAGCAGTTGTTTGTGTGCGTGTTGGAGACTGAATGGGTAATGAATGAATATAGGGCCTTTTTATGGCATAACACTGCTGAGAACAAATATTGATTGGTCGTGTGTGAAGAGTGTGTGAGTGTGTGTGAGGGAGAACTGATGATTACTGTATAAAGTAAACCTCCAGAGGGGGCTGTTTTTATATGTATAAATCTATTATTTATTAGCGATACATTTTGAATAACAGTTTGTTTATGAATGGCTAATCCCAGCTCCTAAACAAGAATATATTAAAGAGGAAACGATGACTTCAATGTAAGGAGGTGTTGGTTTGGCATCGTCGGGCTCGTGGTTGTGAAAGGATTATTTGTGATATGAAGCTGGAGACACGGAAGTGTTTGTGGAGTTGGGGGGCTGCAGGGGAAAGAGGCTCCTCCTTCGTCCCGGCCTCGGCCTCTGACTCTGGGGTTACTGATGCTGTATGAGGGGTCATTCTGCTACACCTTCATCAGGCTACCTCCATTCTCCAAATTGCTTGAACTTTTGGACGACAGACGTTGCTTTTTTTTTGGCCAGCGTCTCGTTTACATTGGCTACCATATTGTCATAAATTGTGCCCTTTGGAGATTTTTTTTTAAAATCACTGTTTACTGTAACTGGCTTAACTTAAACCGTTTTCAATCCAGGATTTTAATTTTTTGGCCACATTTCTGTAATTTGTTTTCTGTGTCACATTGAACATAAGTACATGGAGGCCATCGGCATGTTGTTGGTGCAAAGTTCATCTGGTTATGAGTCATGAAAATATTTCAAACCCTCCCTTTAAAGATCCTGTTTAATGTCCCGATAAACTAATGTTTAATTCTGAAAATCCAGATTATGATCGATCATTTGAAGAATCGAACACTCTGTTTTAAATCCACCTGAGATTCATAGCTCACATTAATGATTGATAAAATGATTAGTTCAGAGTTAAAGTCAGGTTTTCCTAAAAACATTGATGTCATTGATAAAGACATATGAGCTGTTCTGGTGCAGTTAATGGGATGTTGGTAAGTTTCAGTGAGGTACTTATCCTTTGGCAGATTTTTTCTATTTTATATTTTCACCAGGTTATCTTCAGACACCAGCAGAGAGCTGAAAAGGTTACAACGCTCTCTTCAAAACCACCAGACTTCATTGACAAAAATAGCAATTTTACCTCTCAGAATGTGGGAGCTGCTGATGCTTTAACACAGCTAACTATAATAAAAATGACCATTTTTGTCAATGGAGTCTGGTGGCTTTGAAGAGGGCTGAGGAGGAGCTGTCTGATGGTAAAGTGGGGAAAATAATCTAAATATAGCAAAATACAACATCACCCCCTGAAGACTCTGCTGTTTTCTTGACATTCCTTTTGATCGTCCAGTTGTAGTTCACTGTGTGTTTAGGAAAATATTCTGCAGATGCTCCAGACAGGAGAGATGTTACATGATGTATTATTGCTCATTATTCACTTTAAAAGGTCGACGCCCGGCTCTATCCAGCTGTGAGCAGCTGCAGCGCCGCCCGCTGGGACGGCGAAGCTGTGGCTGGATGTTTGGTCGTTGGTCCGACTTCAGCTGCTGCGGTTCAATCTGTGGTGTTGGCGATCCAGCTGTTACTGTGTGTTTGTTTAGGACTACAGCGGCTTCAGCCAGCCAAACGATCAGTGCTGCTGCATGTGGCCAGTGTTTGAGCCATTAAAACTCCTCTTTATAGTTGGAACTGTAAGAGCTTACATGTTGTAGCCTATAGACGGCTGCTGGGTGTGACTACAGGGAGTCGGTGCATCCTCAGATATGAGTCTGTTTGCAGCCACAGCCGAGGGTGCACCGACTCGCTGTAGTCACGACCAACGGTGGCCTACGAGCTTTATTCTTCATAGATGGTAACGGCAGCTACACACAGCAGTAGTATGGGTGATAGCTGTTGTACTGAAGTGACCTCTTAGATAAACACACGTCTGTCCTATAAGAACCACAGCAGCAACGGACGTCTGAACAATAATCCAGACACAACTTCAACGTCACAGCAGGCGGAGCAGCCGGACGCCATCGAAATCAGCCTTTTAAAATGAGTAATGAGCAGTAAATGCATCACCTGATCTCACCTTTCTGTAGCGTCTGGACCAAACACCAGCTGTTTGTATGGATCAGAAGGAAGAGGAAACATTTACAGGGTGACACAAATTAAAAACTCATCCTGTAATCTTATGAGGCTCAGTCTGATACTGATGTTTTTTAGACTCTCCTTCACCGATAAGCACCTCAGACAACCCCAGCTATCCCAGTGCACCCTTCCTGTTCTAGCCAGTGCCTGATCTTCAGCTGTTCAAAGAATGTAACCCTCCAGATGTAAGACTTTGCCACCAACAACGCCCAGAATGTATTTTTCTCCAAATCATCCACCATCTACTGTATCTGCATCTACTGAATGTAGTCTCAGAAGGTGTGACGAAGAAATCCGTTAAAGACCAGCGACTAAACCCTTCAAAGTATCGCGTCTCAACACTAATTCAATGCACTACTAACCCTCTGTGACGCACACGCTCACGCGCATTATAGGCACTTTTGCAAACGTCTGCCTCCACGAGAGGTGGATGTAACTAGACTTGCAAACCAAGTTCACACCTGCAGCACTGGTAACCACGCGTGGCGAGGGCTACGGCGCCGGTTCCTCTGGGATGCAGCGACCCGAGTTTCCACGTCAGGGAACGAGCAGCGGAAAACTTACGACAACTTCACTGTCAGTATTTGAATTTTAACTTTCTGAGACAAGCAACCGTCTGCATCCCACGGCGACCGGTAGCGTAGCCTCCTCGGCACTGTAGCGATGTTCATATGTTAGCTCTGTGTTTTCTGTTGTGTAGTTGAGAAAGCTTTAGAAACGGGAAATGTGTAGATGTTAGGTTGTTGTTTTTTTTATGTTCTCTATTCTAGCAATGTGAACTGAAGTCCAAGTTTGACATTTTGGGGAATAATTTATAGAGAACTGAAAAACAGACTCAAAAACAGCGAGTTTCTGCCATGATTGTGATAAAATGGACGGAGCAGAACTTCTAAAGCTCACCCAGTTAATTTCATTTAGTCTGTACAACAACCCACTAAATGCTTCATATCCATCCCAGTTTGATTGTTTAATTTTTTTGTGTGTAATTTTTAGTGAGAAAAAAACATTTGGTCAAACGATTACAAGACCATTTTACAGATATTAATGATAATTTCTTTTTTTTACTCTTCAGTTTTTGTACAAATTAAAAACTGAACCTGTTTCGTGAGCGGTAGAAGTGCTGCTTTCCTGCCGTTTCAAAGACTCGATGTTTTACACGCTGTGACAACAGGGGGCGCTGTTGCACGACTATTATTTTGTATAGTGTTTATCAGGATTAGCGTTACTGTTTTGTACTTTCTTGCCCATTTTAAATGCAGAAGATATTTGTTTCCCGGGTACGACTCCTCAGAAATGTGGCCTTGATTCTGTTGTAAGTTTAAAAAAAAAATCCAGTGTTTGTTTTACCAAATGTAACGATAAAAACAACACCAAATGAAGTCATATCAGGGGTAAACAGGAGCGAATTAGAATGTTCTGTTATAGATTTAACGAAGATGTAAATATTGTCAGGTGGTTGGTTTTCGCATCAACCAAAGTGCAACAGCGCCGCCTACGGTCACACTTTATAATGACGCCACACAGCTATTGGCTCATGTTTAGAGATGAAAGCGAGTAAAAAATTTGCCAAAATGTCAAACTTATGGCATCTAATCAGTTTCAAAACCCACTCATGTAAAACACAGGTGTGTGCATGTGATACGAGCACAGAAAACCATGAGGGAACGTTTCTGCTCCACGTGCACAGATGCAGTTTTCTAATGAACGCTTGCTCTTTGAGTTCACTTTGGAGGTGGAACAGTGGCTGATAACTCACTCAATTGGTTGTTTTACTGTACATTAATTTGACTTCAAGTTATGATTAATTACTGTTAGAAATCCTCCAGCTTCATCACTTCTGACTGCCTAGTTGGGAGTTCCAGATATCCTTAAGGAGCCATTAACACCTGAGTTTCAATTGGGAGTTTGTTGCTCCTCCCCCTCGTTATGCGAGTCGTTAGTTATAACGAGCAACAAACCTCCAAACCACTGATGAAGCCTCTTGGATGAGAGGTGGAACGTCTTCAAGGAACTCAAGCAGTTGCTACGATCAAACTACGAGAATAACCGTGATCTGGATGACTGAGAATCTTCACAGACGAGATCTTGGTACGTCTTCCACCGCTGTCTGTGCCTCAAAAGCTTAAAAAGTCATCTTGGCTGGTGAGTCAGTTGCGAGTGCATGTGGAGGGTTGAGGATAGTTTCCTGTGAACTCGTATCACAAACACCTGGTTTTCATGCGCACAGGTTTTGAGACCGATTAAACGCCACGCTAGCTGTTCCTTTACGGAGGGAGGGAGGCGATTTCTAATGAATCTTGGCTTCTTATGAATGTTTTGGTTGATAATAACGGACTTGGCCTTTTAACGATCTGTATCCAGCAGCACTCTGTCAGGTAATGGATACGGTTTCTACCCAGTTTATTTCAGAAAACCACGCTCGTTTAGCTCCACACATACCTTCACATCCTGTTGCTTTCATTCACGCAGCTGTCGCATATCAAGAGTTTGTGGGGATTAAAACAAAAAAAACACTTCCCCCATGGTCGCATCCTCGCCGCAAATTGCAGAAATCTGATGTTTAACGCCTTGTGGTCCATCTGTGATGCTCCTCCAGCTGCTTAAACAAGTAGAAATCAGAGTCTGTATCATTTCATTCACGCCGTTTAGACAACTGTCAAAGAAAATCACAAACAAAAAAAAAAGTAGTGTCTGAATCCCCAGGTCTGCTCCTTTCCCCCTCCAGCCTCCTCCCCTCATTGGCTGGCTACAATCTACGCAGGCTGTAGTAACGAAGGTAACTTATTTACTATTTTGTAACACAAAAAATGCGCAAGACTTTGTACTAATTTTCAAATAAAGAGGCTTTGATACCAGAGTCGTCTGTCTACTGGATTTATTTAATATTTGTACAATAATGAATGATTAGTGCGTTTTTGTGTTTTTTTTCCAGAGGAACGATTTTTTGGAATAGTCTAACTTTACTGAATATATTTACAGTGTTACAAAGAAAACATAATCAACTTGTTAAGACGTGCTGATTCGTATGCTGCTCTGTGTTACCGTGACGACTGAGCTACACACTCTGATTGAGCTGGGAGGTTGTCCCGTCTTCAACACAGCTCCGCCCGTCTCCTGTGGCCCGCCTGCAGCTCCATACATCCAGTCATTACATCGATCACAAACCAGTGCAGAAGGGAGCAGCCAAGCACGGTCACACCTCGGTGATGCCTTGACGCCCGCCCGTGAAGGGGGCTGTGAAAGTGGAGTGCATGCTGGGAGTTTTAATTTTTTTTCTTCCTTTTGGGCCCAAATGTGGAGCCGGAAGTGCTTCCGTCCACCCCAGACGTACAAAGAAAAAGCAGCAAAGAGCGACAGAACAGAGAAAGGAATACAGACAGGTGCATAGTGATCTGATCCCAGAAGCCACCGAGTGATGGAAGGAGAAGCAAGTGTGTTTGTGTTTCAGGGATCAAACCCCTAAAGCAGTGGAAATACACCCAACTTCCAAACCAGACCCCTACCGTCTGCCACCAGGCACGTCTTGGTAATCAACACCGTTAAAATTTCTCCGACAGTCCCAGGATTCTGAGTGTGTCTTTTTCTTAAAAGCAGGATTAGAAAGAACGGCCGGCCTTCGCTGACGCCTGGTGGTAAAGTGAGAGAAAGGCAGCGATCTGTGGACTCCTCTCATTGCTTGTTGAGGCTCCAGAGGGGGTCCAGGCTACTGAGCGGGTCGTCTCCTTCCTCCCCTCGGGTCCCGTGAAGACCCTGGCCCTCCGCTGGCTGCAGGAAGCTCTGCTTGGTCACCCGCTGCTTCCCTCGACCTCCTCCCTCCATGGAGAAGGCCTCGGGCGCGAGCGAGGCCAGAAGCTCCAGAGACGACGGAGCCGGCGCAGAGGAAGCGGGAGGCAGGCCGGGCGCAGCCTCTGGGACTGGCTGGTGGTTGGGTGGGGTGGAGGGGGAGATGGCGTCCAGGCCGTTGGGCGGTGGAGGGGAGTGGGTGGGGGAGGTGAGAGGAGGGCTGAAGGAGGAGGGGGGCTGTGGATCTGAGGGAGGGCAGGGGTCCTGGAGGGACTGGATGTCACCCAGTGAGTCGAGAGCAGGTAAGACGGCGCCGACCTGCTCCTCCAGGCCGTAGGCGGCGCCGGCCTCCATTGCTGGGTCGGTGGCGCTGGGCGGGCGGATGCTGAGCTTGGCGATGGTGGCTTGGATGGAGCTGATGGGCATGTCGCCACCGAGGACGAGATCCTGCTGGGACTCCTGTCTCGAGTAAGGCTGCAGGGAAGGTTCAGAAAAGAGAGAAATGTTAGGATACGAAGAGGGGATGCAGGGAAATGAAGGTGCTTCTATCTACCTCTGTGACTGTTCTACTGAGAGATGAAAGCGGTACCTCTTCTGACCAGAACTCGTAGAATTCCTTTGAAACAATCAGGTGTGCAAATGTAAACAAATACAGTGTTAAAGCCAGATAAAGGTGATGGAACAGACTGGAGCTACCAGGGAACGGGATTCAAAGAGTAAAGTCAAGAAGCATTAACTCTGCAGCACTAATACTTATTTCTAACAGCAGATATTTTCAACATTTGAGCAGAGTTCTGGATTTTTCTCCACCCGCTTTACAGTTGACAATCTCAGATGTCTGTCTCCAAAAACTTACGATATAGCAGAAATAAATACAGTTTTGTCTGTTTCTTTTTCCTGCAAATGTGGGTTTTTAAAGGATTGAGTTGCACATTAAAATTCAGCAGTGAGATCTCTTTACAGAAAGTGTTCCAATGCACCAATAAAAAAAGGTGTTCATAGGAGCTATTTCTTTAGTGAGCGGTAGATGCAGTGACGTCTGTCCACAGTGACGCCCCATCATCAAGTAACACGTCTGAAGTTGTTGTAATGAGACACATCATCATCATTCATGGGCAGAATCTTTGGTGCAAAATCAAATTGTTAACTAGTTATTTGGACAATTAGATAAGCTTATTTCAGTGTTTGTGTTTTGTTTATTAGTGCATTATTGTGCTTGATATACGACCCAGTCTTGTGTGCAGGGCAGATAACGTGCACATAACTGCAGCAGGCGTGAAAAACATCAGCGTCAAAGTGTCAAAAAGCCATCACTTTAACAGACTGATGTATGTATTCTACTGTCCATCTCCAACTACTAGCTTCTCACTGATCCATGTGGCTGAAAGCTGCCTGAACACTCAACAGTCAGCAGATAAGACACTGAGGGTCCAGCTAAAAGCTGGCTATGCAGGCTGCTGAATCGAAAACTGCAGTTGAACTAGTTCACCACCAGAACAGAGTTTTGTGTGAGAACAAACCTTCGTGGCTGCAGAGTTGGTGCTCTTGCTGCAGGTGGCGGTCGTGATGCCGTGGCGCTGAAGAACCTGCTCCGCGTGTTTCAACACGGCCTCATAGCAGAACTTCAGATGGAGCTGGAAGCAAACACAGAGGAGAGTATTAATAATTCTGTTTTTAAACTGAGGTTTAGTCACTCGTCTGATTCAGGACATAATTTACTTCCTTTGCTATGGAAATGTAAAAATGTATCCTGCCTTCAATAACATTTACATTCAGCTTTTAAAGCTGCACTATGCAGGATTTGTCTGAGATAACAAACCTCCGTTATCAGACTGAGCGAAGCCACAATAGACACTTTCTCCAGACTTGTTATTCTTATCATGTGATAATCAGTGAAGTCAGTAAATCTTAAGATGTCAAACCCTTAAAAGCACACCGATTTCAGGAGGGATGAGAGGATACGTCCTCCTCAACACTGAGAACACGTGAAATAAAGACAAGAAGCAGAGAACTTCTTATCTCCAACAAAGGACAACCATCATTCTTAAGCAGTGACCCTGTTTTTACTCCCAAATGAGGATGCATTATCAGATCACACGTCGACATCTTTTGTGGCAAATGGAATTATCTGCTCAGACAACAGCAGCACAGCGTCTCCTCTGTTCTGACACTGCACCCATTCAGGTGGGTTGATAACCACGAGGGAAAAGGAGGAGCTTTTTTATCAAGAAATATTTAGAGGCTTTAACAAGGTCTCGTTCTCTAACGGATTTTAACAATGCTTTCAGCTGTTGTGCCTTAAATGTGTTGTAACTTCACAGCTGAGATTTTTGTGAATCCTAAAATGATCCCCCCCAGAAATCTGTCTGGATAACATAAACCTGATGCAGTTAAAGCACAAATGGTGCTTAAAAAATTCAACAGAATGCAGATAATTGAAGTGTTTGACGCTCAAAATGTCCACACGAGGACGCCCAGACCTCTCCGTTAATGTTCAGGTAAAACCGACGCCCACGTATAACAGGAGAAGGTAGAATCAGCAATGAGTGAGCTCCTCATCCAGCAACCCACCAATCATCTATCAACCACCAGGATGAAATCTGACAGTCTGACGGTGCACAGCCTGCTGACATAATGGTGAGTTAAATGTGTGTGATTAACAGTTACCCCTTGCTGCTACCTGTACAACTCAGGCTGCTTGAAACGTATGACATAAATCAAACATGAAGCTCAAACACAATTACAAAAATCTGTGTGTCTGACCTTCTCCTGTAGCATGTTCTTCCTCTGTTGTCTCATCTTCTTCACGAGCAGTGGAAGGTCGGGGATCCCGTTTCCCGCCTCCAGCTCCTGCAGAGCTGCGTACAGCAGACAGAAGGCGCCGGTGCGTCCAACACCCGAGCTGAGACAGAAAGAGACGATTAAAAACTGTTGCACCGACTCATCAGCTTGCCTGTGAAGCACTAAAAAAGGACAGCGACGGAAACACACTCACCTGCAGTGCACTACAACAGGTGTGTGTAAGGGCCTCTGGTGGAGGTAGTGTCCATGAACCTCCTGGATGAATCGCAGCAGATTGCTCTTGCTGTCAGGAAGACCCCTGTGAGATTTGAAGAAATAATGACTTGTCAGACGGAAAGACCAAAATGTGATTACCTGATCGGATGATGAAGCCCCTCAGCGAGACTTTGTCCTTGAGAACTTATCTCCATTTTTACATTTTTAAGAGGTGACTTACAGCTCTGGCCAGGAGGTAAACTGCAGGTGGACAACAGTGCGCTTCAGGCTTTGGTCGCGGTACTGCAGACTGATCATGCGCTCCACATGCGTCGGTGTTGTCTTCTGTGTGGTTAGGCTGAGTGTGATTGGTCCCTGAGAGAGCTGCTGGCCACGCTCCGTTGGGAAGTAGCGCAGAACCTTTCCCTTTGGAAATTAGGAAGAACATTAAGCACAGACGCGAGCAATAACAGATTAAAACGAGGAAATCATCATTTAGTTTTCAGACGAACTTGATGATGTGTAGCCCACATATTTCTTAACTAATGAAACAAAACATTAAACCGTTATCTCTCCTTTGAAATACGAACATAAAAATCTGAATATTAATAAAAAGACATTTGAATTTTCACCCGCTGCTCATCACATGCTGTTTTAATGGCTTCCACGTTAATCACAGTTTAAATTAAAGTCAGTACCTTTTCCAGCTCCTGCTCCGAAACCAGCATGACTATCAGTGACACCTTCTGCTCGTACACCATCAGCCAGAAGTCTGCTGCTGTGCCGGTGAGCGGAGCCTGTGTGGCAATAAGGCGTGGGCAGTACGGTGACAAGTCTTCCACATAGCTGGCATTGATGTAGTCATCTTTCCCTGACTGCAGCACCACTCGGTTGAGGTCATAGGGCATTACGTCTTGGTGGCGGTTCTTCATGGTGTAGCAGCGGGCGATAGCAATCGAGAGCTGGCGAGCGTCCTTCTCCTGCTGATCCTGTAGCTCTTTCCAGCGGGCATCTAGCACTGACAGACCCCCCTCACTCTCTGAGGGGTGTTCCAGGGAATCTACCTGGGCTCTGTAACGCTCTAGTTCGCCATGAAGGCGAGCGACTCGCTCTGGAGCTTGGTATGGGTCACCCTGGATCAGGAGAACTCCCTGGGCGCTCTTCTTTCGACGCTCCCCATCCTGTGGGTCAGCTTTGGTGGGTTGGAGGACATTGGTGGGGGCCTTGGTGCCTCCAGGCTGGCTCTCTGGGCTCGAGGAGAGGAGATCATCTGTGCTTGAGTTCTGCCGCTGAAACAGTGATGTGGAGGGAGAAACGGCAGAAGGAGAGGGAAGTGGGGGTGGGGCTGTGCCTCCTGGAGTGGGAGTCGGTGTGGGTCTCTGCTGGGGGTTCAAACTCAGAGAGGTAGGACCTGGAGAGGGGGACGGGGAGGGGGAAGGCGAAGGGGAAGGGGGGATAGCGTTGGGTGGCTGAGCCGCTGTAGGGCCTCCAGGAGAGGGCTGGATCATGTGCTGAGCAGGGGGGGCATGAGGACCATGTGGGCCTATGGCAGTGGGTTGCTGTGGGGCACTTGGAGGTACATTGGGTCCCGGAGCTGAAGGATACATAGAAGAAGGCTGTGGATGTGTCATAGGAAGAGGTGCCTGAGGTTGTTGGGGAGCCGCGGGCTGTGGGGCCAGGGGCTGCTGAGGCATCATTGGAGCGCCTCCAGGGTAGCATACCCCCCCAGAATGAGGGGGCTGAGACTGTGGTTGACTGGGCATACGCATGGGTTGCTGGGGCATATTTGGTATAGGAGGCTGTCCAGGGTGGGGATGATGCTGTGGGGGTAGTGCACTAGGGGGCATTTGGGGCATAGGGCCTCTTGGCATGTGGACTTGAGGACCAGGGACCATACGAGGTTGTGAGGCAGGAGGCATCTGAGGGTGCATGGTAGGGTGAATGGGCTGGCTAGTGGGGGGCATGTAGTTCTGTGAGACTGGAGGCATCGCCTGACTTGTGGGGGGCATCTGAGCTCTGGGACCACCTGGTATCTGCATTTGTGGGTGTGGCGGAATCTGCTGGGCACTGGGGGGCATTGAGAGTTGTTGCTGTTGTGGCAGCATGTGTTGGTGAGGGAGTCCTGGGGGCATCTGTTGGTTTGGATGGGGTAGGTAGGGTTGAGATACAGGGGGTGCTGGTTGAGAAGTTGGGGGTGTTGATGAGTGTGCAGGTGGCATCTGAACCTGAGGTGGCCTTGGCATGGAGCCCGGCATCATTTGAGGGTGTTGCTGGGGTACATAGCCCTGTGGAGTCTGGTAGCCTTGGGGTATCTGAGGCTGGTGCTGAAAGCCATTTTGCTGATGTGGCTGTAGCTGACCTGGGAATGGCTGCTGGAAATGGGGAGGAACACCAGGCTGAGGGGGCATATATCCATGTGGGTACGGTTGCTGCGTCTGAAGAGGAGGGTGAGGGCCTGGAACAGGCCTTGGTCCAGGCTGGTACCCCTGAGGGAGTGGCTGTCCAATGGGCTGGGGGTACTGCTGTGGGTGCTTCTGCTGCTGTGCTTGGGGTAGAGGGGTCTGGCCTTGAATAGGAACCCCTGGTTGGGGTATAAATTGGGGATAAGCCCTCATCTGTGGTGGTAAGGGGTAGCTAGCTGAGACTGCAGGTGGGACAGGGTGGTGTGGTGTGGGGGTGTAGCTGGGGATAGGGGCCTGGATGCTGTCCACAGTGGTGGTCGAGGGTCGGACTGGGGTAGGGGCAACCAGGCCAGGTTGGGAAGCCTGAGGAGGAGGTGGCCGATAACTAGACACCACAGCTTGGTTTGGCATTTGTGGAGGCCTTTGTGGAGTCATCTGAGGAAGAGGGGCATGTGGCAGGGGTCCCTGTGTTGCCATACCCCCTGAAGTAGGAAACTGAGCTATCCGTGCCAGGAGCTCAGGCGGTGGCAGGTTGGCAGGGAAGCGAGGAAGAGCAGCAGCAGGCGCGCCAGGCCAAGGCAGGGAGGTGCTGGCACCCAGGTTAGCACCAGGTGGAATGAAGGCTTCAGGACCTGGCAGACGAGCTGCAGGGGTGGGGAGGGACGGAATGTCAGGGGGGAGGCTGCGGAGGTCCTCAGGTAGGTCGCCCCCCAAGGCCAAGATGGCTGCACTAAGCTGGGCCAGCTCTGGGTCATCTAGGCTAGAACAGGCAGAGTCAACATCTGAGGTCTTGGGCTTAAGGGACGGCTTAGCTGCTGTAGGCCGTGCAGGGGGTTTCTTCTGGGTCTCTCTGAGGAGGGGACAAAGCAGAGCAGGGTTACAGCAGAATTCATTAGAAATGTAAAATATCATTACTAGAGGGAATATAAGAGAGAAAAGTGGTCACATATTTAAATATTTATCTGTCTTTTTGGAGGTCAAATTGGGAAGAAAAAAAAAAAGTATTTTATGTACTTTCAGTTTGGCATTTTGATTTTGGAACAAATCCAATAATGAATCCACAGTATGAGGAGGAACCACTGTGCCAAGTGGAGATCAGATTAAGAACATAAAGTTTATGGCAGGAGAAGGAACACAAAAATGACCTATAAGGCCTATAAGATGTGTCTTTGCTGATGCAGTAACCCACCATCACTAAAAGACTAACATTAAACATTTCTGTGTCAGTGTCTTCCTTACTTTTCCAGAACGGGCTTCCTTTCCTCTGTCCTTGTCTGACATAAGGCCTTTGCTCTCTCCAGCAAACGTGACGCTTTGTCCTCCAGATCATCGTAAAACTCTTTTCCCTCTTGTGATTTCTTCATCAGGTCCTCGTAGGCCTCGTATGAGCCCACCAGTCCCTGAACAGTGCTGTTCCACTGCTGCTCAGTCTGGCTCAGGCCTTTACGAACGGAGGCGTACTGAACGTTGGCCTCAGTCAGTGCCTTCAAGATGTTTTCTTGTGCTGCAAGGTTCTGGTCAATGTAGACCTTCACCTGCTCGTACTTCTTCAGCTGCTCTTCAAATATATGCTAGAAAGACAAAGGCTAGTTAGGAGGTCCAGCACACAGCATTCAGCAAATTATTTCTGAAATGATAACATGTTATATGTGCAGACTCTTACTCAAACCATTTTATTTTTCTCAAGTGCTTTTTTAGGTTAAAATGAAAAGGAAAAAAAAAACTTTTGTGGCAGAATACCTTCATGTCTGCTCTCTCTGTGGTGACCAGGGTGGAGGTGATGTCATCCTGCTGGATGAGGTCGCGGAGCTGTTTTTCCAAAGAGCCTCTCTGTTCCCTCATCTCCTGTACCTTTCCGAGGATCCGTTTCATGCACTGCAGCCCTGCAACTTCCTCTGCACACACACACACACACATGCACGCACATTCGGTTACACTCACAATTTATTGACTAAATTACATTCACTCTGATACGTTCAATTTATATGAGCATCTCTTCATCCATAATACATGCATGTAATTCATAACACAGTGTAGCAGATATTGCCTGCCCTCATATATAGACATACAGTATATATAAGACATTATGTTCGAACACGCCACCTCTCCAGTAATGTCAGCGAGGACAGGCTCCAGGCCTCTAGGACCCTCTAAAGGATGAAGCAGGTATAATTAATTCACTATGAATTATGGAAAGAAACCTTCTTTCCTGCACTAGAATTAGCTAAGAACTATTATTTGACCAACTGATTAGTCGACTAATGGAACAATAATGCTAAACAAAGCCACTAGCTCCAGCTTCTCATTTGTGATCTTTTTTTTTTTTCTCTCATACGATAGTTGCCTAACTATTTTACAAGTTTTAGACTTTTGATTTGACAAAACTTTGATGGCATCACCTTCACCTGTGGGAAATTATACCTGGCATTTTTCATCAAGTACGAAGTTTTGATAAAGGCAAAACAATCGCTTGGTTAAGTAAGAAAATGGAAATATGCAATTAAAAACTACACATTCTACTAAGCCTTGCTAATTTACATACACCCTGATCATCAAACACACGCTCACCTTCGTTAAGCTGCGGCCGCGGCAGAGCGTCCCTCAGACTTTCCAGCGGCCCCCCCAGCAGGCGCAGGTTGCTGATGTGCAGGTTCATGGCTCGGTGCAGCTCCGTATTGGTGAAACTGGCCTTTTCGTGGGCCTCCATGTACTTCTCCAGGTCTCTGCGTATCTCAGCCAGCGCCTGGCTCTGCACAGCAGGGTGCACCTCGCCTGCAGCGGGGCCGCCGGCCTCCTGGAGGGCTCGCTCCCCGGCTTCATCCGCCTCGAGGACATCTCTGATCTCCTTCAATGAAGACTCGACGTCGGTGAAGACGCCTGAGAGCACTGCACAGGCAAAGACGTGACAGGCATTGTTTATACAGAAGCACACAAAGAAGTGCAGCATAAACAACATTATAAGTCATAAAACATAGCAAACAAACAGACTATGAAGTTCTTTCAGTTTGAGGGAGAAAATGTGCATGCTGAAATTTGTACATGCATGCTTGTCCAAAGCATTATGCAGACATGAGGACATCTGCTCAGACAGTTAAAAGTCTGAATGCTAAGTTCATTTGTATTCAGGAACTATGTTTAAATTTGGTTTAATGTTTTGATATGAAGCTTCATTTGTAATGTACATTTACATTATTAATTAAATAACAGTAAAAGCTCTAACATTGTTGCTAGGACACGATATTCCCGGGAATTCTCTCTCTAAATTAAAAAAAATTAAAATGCAAACGTTTTCACAATGGTTAAGGATGCTTATTTATCATGTGTTTGCAACACTGGATCCAATGTTAAAGGTAATAACTCTGGATTCCTAATTGAATTTTCTTAATTTGGACAACTGTGTCATAAATTATTTTGTTATGTCAAAACCAATAAGAAAGCTTACTGACATTGATCAACCTTAGCTGTCATAGCTGGGAAACACAAGGCCAACCAAGGCCACTAAAATGTATGGCTTGTGTTCTCACTTCCTACTGCACTCAAAGTCACTGGTTAGTTTGCTGTATGTGGACTTGTGTCTGGCACTAACCCTGCATGGACTGAATGAGGCTCTTGACGGTGTCGGGACGGACGCTGAGAGCGGCGCACTTCTCCATCAGGACTGGAGGGATGTGGCTGTACATGTCCAGGTTGTCTACAGACTCTGGCTCCAAGCCCAGAGAGTCCATGAACTGCCTGCAAAAAGAAGACGAGACCAGTCATGTGACACTGGGGCAGCACCTTGGAAATTAAAATCTGCTTCTATCAGTACGGTACTGTTCATTTTTGCATAAGCATTACATTTTGTTGAACCAATATATCAATGATCTCGGTTCTTCATTAAAGAAATTCATTGGGAACGGCTGCCTTTTTACTAAGTAAGTTGACTCCCTACTTGAAAGCAAAATTATTTAAAATATTCAGAACAAATTAAGGATATAGCATGAAAACTTAGGTTTATGTCTTGTGGAAATGAGAGGTCCACAATGTGCACTTTGTACAGACTGCACAGATCCCCCTAAAGACTCGATTCTGGTGGAAAAAATGACCTCAGTCCTGCTTCCTGCCGAGCTAACAGCACTGGCTGGTGGTTGCTGACAGAAATGCCTTGAAACAGCAATTTCCAAACACCCTAATTACTGGACACAAAACTGTCACCAATTTCAGCTCCGTCTTTCAGAAAAGCTCCTTATGCACACACCATTATGCACGCTCATGTACTCACTCTAGTGTTTCATTCTTGCTTTCAATCTTTGCCATGACGTCCCTCAGCAGCTTGGCCTTCTCCTCACTGGAAAAAAAAAAAGAACCACAGACACGAATAAATGTTTGTAATGCGTAAAAAAAAAAAAAAAAAAAAAGCCTACTGAAGATTCTGTTTTCCACATTTCTAACATCATATCCACTAATGGTTGCCTACCTGTACAGAGAAGAGGCTTCGTGGGCAGCCATGGGCACCAGTTTGGCAAACAGGTCTGGTCCGGTGACAGTGGGGTCAGTGGGGTTGACTGGCAGAGCTTTGACCAGTGGAGCACCTAGAAAAGGCACAGAGTAGTTTAAGAGGAACACTAAGCTTGATTTCATTGACGTAATAGCACAGAGGAGAGCTCGTAATCAACTGCATGCCGAAAAAACAGCTGCAGCCTCAGTAGTTTGTCCTTATAGTCCAGCCGGCAACACATTTTAGTCAGTTTGTGCCTTTAATTTTGTCTGTGAGGCAGCCCAATAACATCAGAAGCGATTAATACTAAGAGCTGAAGAAATGCGTACACTAACAAATAAGAAAACATTTTGGTTTGTTGAGTCTTTGTCCCCTCAGAGGGACGAGGGGACGGGTCACTACAGATCAATACAAAGTTGTCCTGAGTGATTACCTTTAGCCTGCAACAAAACAACTCCATCATTGATCTCTTTCAGAATGACAGTACTCCCGTTTACAGAGGATAAGGGATCGCTGAGTGGTTTGACGAGCATGAAGAAGTATGCTCTGGCCTCCACGGTCACCAGATATCAACCCAGTTGAGATTCTTGTGCAACAAGCCAGCTTTGCGTGCACAGTTACTGACTGAATGCAGGAGCACGCTGAGGCTTCCTGTTACCTTTGACCGAGGCTAGAGTCTCCAGAGAAGGAACCGTCTCGTGATAGATGAAGTCGTTGTCTTTTTTGGCAGAGTTAAACCTGTAAAGGAAAACAAGTTAGATTTTCTTCTGGAGATGTATAAATAGCAACATACCACTAAAACAGCATGAAAATGACAACTGTTAGGCAAGACTCATGGCTCACTTTCCACCGATAACATCCATGGTGAATCTTAAGGCCTCTTGCACGCTGTCCGGTTGACCCTGGATGGATCAGAAGATAAAACAAAAGGAGAGTTTAGTTTTAACGGGTAACATGAACAATAAAATGATCGTGTGTTTCTGTGAAGTATGAAACAAACTTTTACCTTGGCCAACTTAATGGCTTCAGTGAGTTTGTCCAAGGAGCTCTGCAGGTAGGCCAGCTGAGGGAAACAGAGCATCTGAGTCATTTAGCTGATGGATCAGTAACCTATCATGATTGAACAAAGCTAACGAGTAAAACTAGCTTCACCAAGTTCCTCCATAGGTGTTTTGTGATTATTGTGGCCTATAAAACATTTTTCTGTAGCTCTACATTTAAATTAGTGTTCTGCTGCTTTAAGATAAAACTTTTGGTGACACTTGCAAGTTGCTTTTTAAAAAACATCCAGACTGTGAAGAGCATTTCCTAACGACGACGACATGTAATAAGTTCTAATAAAACAACAGTTTAATGGCATCTCAGGAGAGGCCTATTAGCTGGCATTTGTGTCAATCATTGTTTGTGTGTGCCTGCAGCAAGGCAGGAAGTTCAAAAAGCTGGAAGTAGTGTTGCTATAAGTAGCTGTGTTACTAGTTTAACTACATGCCTCAGTTATATGGATGTAAAAAATGCTGTTTTCTGATTCAAACAGCTTTCCAGAAGTGAAGCTCTTTGACAGATCAGGTCGTGCTGCAGCATCCACACAAGATACTTGTCTACTGAGCATTTTGGAGGTGACAAGCACAGCGAATCTTTCAGTGCAGTCTGAAATAAAAGTAAGGACCAGTGGGTGATGCCTCCGCCATGCACAGACTTATGAGTATTTGACAGAAGCTCTTCTGTTTGACCGTCACAATGTGCACCAATCTGAATATACCAGCTAGCAACTTGTCAACAGCTAACTATGTGTTTTTAATTGTTTATGGAAGCAAATCAATAAAAACGTAGCTTCTGCTGGAGTAAACTGCTTCTCTCAAGTTGGTGTAGAATAATAAATCAGATTCCTGTTCCTACCCGCTCTCCGTACTTCTGCTGCTCCTCTGCCTGTTTGCCCATGTGAAGCTGTTGACAGAAAAAAAAATAGACTGAGACAACAGGCCGAGGTGTTTGTGTGCATCTGACTCATCAAATGCCAAAACAAAAACAAGTTCACACGTGTTGAGTTACCACATGTGAACACAAAACCACTTTCTTCTATAAGACGCTCACATGTGCAATAGACGCAAAGTAGTAGATCTTCATCTGAACCAGCTTCTTCCAGTCTTTCTGGATCTTTCCCAACATCGAGGCCGTCTCTGAGTTCTCCAGAGCCCTGCAGGCCTCTTTATAGTAATCCACCACCTGCAGAAGCAAAGCCACAGTTATTGGCTCTTAACATTTTAATTACTGATTTCTACAGTAGAATTAAAAACAATGTAATAGTGAAAAGTCAACCTGAGCACTGATGCGGGCAACCAGGAAGCTCTTCCTGTTGTCCAACATGGACTTCTCCAGAAGACACTCCTGGGCCTGGCCCTGTTTGGCAGACACAGGTTAATGACACATGATTCTGTGTGTGTGTGTGTGTGTGCATGTGTGTGACTTACCAGCATAAGGTTGATGTTGAGGTTGAGAATCTGGTGGCTCATATCCACGCTGAAGTTGTGGCTGAAATGGTCTCTCAGGTAGGAGAAAGCTCCTGCTGAGCACTGGAAGTGAGTGCAAGACACCTTCATCCCCTGAACACAGAGCACAGAGAGTCAGCGGGACGACCAAAACACACACAATTATTCTCTGACTGTATGTGTGTGTGTGTGTGTGTGTGTGTGTGTGTGTCCTACCTCCTCAGATACCCTGTTATCCATGGCTCCCAACATAGAGTGCAGGGCCCCTACAGAGAATCCACATTTAAGTTTGGAAGGATTTGCAGGTTTGATTGAATACAATATGCATTTTTCTGCGCTTTTCCTCGTGGGAAGTAAGTGTTCAGATGCCATTAAATGTTATTTATGTGCATTTTTGTGGCATGAAAAAGAACAATTGAGGAAAACAGGGAAACAGTCTGAGATTCTTGAAGGACAAATTCTCATTTTTAAGGCACAGCTTCAAACAACACTGAACATATAAATATTGCACATGCATTGAAAAGGTCATTGGTTGCTTTGTTTGTTGCAGCTGTAGCACGTTGCATAGTACACCACAGGAGTATATGATAAATCAGTGAGCCTGTATGAATTTCTTAAACATCAATGAGGAGCAAAAGTTTCATTTAAATGAGACTTTATCACTGGAAATCTTTGCTACAGAAATATCAGCACAAAGACACTAGACCACTTGCTCAGATCGATCCATGGCAGTAGATTAAAACTATTTAAGTGTCTTAAATTTGTTGTTCACGTCCAGAAGTTCAGCAACTTTCATGTCCTAATTGCCACAAATTCCTTTTAACTGGTCTAGTTTAACACAAAACCATAAATTACTGTAAGCCGCTTTACTCACCCAGATTGTAGAGGATGCACGCCTGCTCGTAGCTGATGTCATCGTGGGTGACTGTTTTTCCAGAGAAAATTTCAGTCCTGAATAAACGGAGGTATATGACAGAGAATAACATTAAAATCCTACAAGGTCTGGTGTGTGAACAGCATCATTTATTATCATATTTCTGAACTACAATTCGAGATGAATGAACGAGATGAATACTGGAGGCTTTATACTTATACTATATGTCCTAAAGCTCATACCGATAGATAGATAGATAGATAGATAGATAGATAGATAGATAGATAGGTAGATAGGTAGATAGGTAGATAGATATATAGATAGATAGATAGATAGATAGATAGATAGATAGATAGATAGATAGATAGATAGATAGATAGATAGATAGATAGGCTCCAACAATAAAAACACAACACATATGAAAACACACTTAAGCCACAAGCTCATAAAGCACAGACGTCTAAAAGAATTGTTAAAAACAAACAGCATTTTTATTATTTTACAAGCATAACCCAATGCTGGGAGGATTTTATCTTCTTTTTCCTTTGTATTTCATTCATAATTGTTTTTAAATTCATTGTATTTCTTATGACTTAACTTCAGATATGTCTATATGGCTGTATGGATATGTTAACGTGCATATTTGTGAAGATACAATGCACAGCTAACAATATCAATAATTACATTTCAATAATCAACTTAACATCAGATTTCCCAACTACAATAAAGACTTTATTAATTGATGCTAGCTATAGACTACTTTAAGGATTATAAACTTAAGAAATAACAAGACATTTCAAGTAAAATACAAATTAGAATCTAGGGTTACAGGCATTCGTGCAGCACAGTGTTCATTCGCATTACATTCAGATTGAGGCAGTGACCTGACATCCAGAGCAATCAGCAGTAATTGCAAAACTAAAGCAAGATTCAGACCTCTGGAGCTCAGCGGTGCAGACTGTAGCAGCATGTGTGAATGCTCTCTGTGTGTTCCTACCATGAGATGGGCACTGCAGCCTCCTGGCCTGCTCCCATGGGCACCCGGCTCTGGACGTAGTGCAGCTGGCCGAAGTACTTCCTCAGCGTGCTGCATCCCTCGAAATCCCTCGTCACATTCACTGCGCTCTGTAAAACAGACACAAATAATGTGTTTCTTTTGTGTTTAATCAGCTGTTCTTTGCCCCTGCAGCTACAAAATCGCAACTTCCGCAAACACACTGCGAGCTAACTCAGCTGTGCTCCACACAGCGATGAGTTTCAGCGGCTAATGTTTAGCATTTATCCTTTACTCGCTGGCATTTCCAGGAGAACAGCTCATTTGAAAAAGTGTCATTTAGACTTGATTTATAACGACATGCAGAACCTGACAAACATGAGCAGTGAGTAACAAACGCAGCAGATATTCAGCTGTTTGAATGTTTGGTTTCAACCATCTGCCATCTGTCAGTCCCCCAGGAAACAGAAAGAGTACAGAATAAAACGCAGAAATATGGTGACGTGATGAGCTCAACTTTGTCTCACCACAGAGACAGTTCTGTGGTTGTGAAGCGCTAGATGGAGGTTTTCTTTCACTTTCAGCAGACAGGGTGGGAAGCCGGGTGTTAAAGGTTCACAGGTTTGACAGAAACAGATAAACAGAATATTCAGGCTTTTAGAAAATCTCGCCTACCGACTTATCTAAACATCCAGAGCCTGACAGTAATGGAGAGGTGGAAACACACTAAGGGAAACCGGCACGGCCAGAAAATATTTTAAAAAGAATCACGATTTCTGTCAAGTTGTCATCATATTAAAAAAAAGGAGGCGCTGCTTGGCTCTGACAGCTGGCAATGATGAGGAAGGTAAAGGTACAAATAACATGATCCAGGAAGTCTTGCTTAAAATGATATCATGGAGACAACCACAGAAAAAAAAAACAGGGCACACTGCCTGTAGGTCACGTGATGTTAAATTATTCTTTGATCACTGGCAGGCAAACAGGTCAGTGTGTTGAACGATGGTTTCATTTTTTGTACTGATTGGGGCATCAGACACTTCAGGGCAGCTCAGCCCTGCAGCATGAGCCATGTGTCAAAATCCTCATGTTTCCTACGCTGGTTTGTGGGACAACTTGTCAGGACAAGCCTCTGTTGTCTTCCAGTTATGTTCGTCAACTCTCCAGACATTCAGGGCTCCAACTGTCGATTGTTTTCATTGTCAGTTCATCAGATTTTATTTTATTCAACTGATTAATTAACCTATAATGTGTCAAAAAAAACAGGGACACCCACCACGATTATGCAAAGCTGAAGGTAACGTCTTCCAATGACCAAAAATTACTGTGTTTCATTTAAGCAGCGATGCATCTGATGTGTCCAAAATGTATTCTGGTCCACACAGAGCTGTGAAAGCATCCTCAGCTTAGGATGTGCCTAAAATTTTTTTGCACAGCACTGTACGGCAAATGGGAGCAATATATAGGAGTAAATCATCTCACTGGACGAGGTTTGAATTCTGCAAGCCAAACATGTGCCGTGCTGCCTTTTGTTTTACTACTATTCTTACCAAGTCTATTATTATTTGTATATTCTGTTTTTGTCCCTTTAAACTGTTTACATGCACCAACTGGAGCAGCACTCATAATATCGCTGTATACAATACAGAGACAATAAAGGCATTCTGATTCTGATTCAGGTTTGGGGACACAGGAAAGCATTATTGGTATATATTATAATATATTTTAAAGCAGCAGTCTGTCCCACATTATACTCGTTCCAGCATTAGGAACAAAAACAATTTCTCTCTCATAAATGACTTGGCATTTTGTCTCTGTTGTTGCATGAAATACTGAAAGAAGACTATCATCTAATTATCAAAGAATTGGCTTTAAGAGTAACCTCTGCATCCTTGCTTGTTTTTTTGTTTGTTTTTTGTGTACAGCATCTTTGAGTTTCTTAAAAAGCGCTATATAAAACAAATGTATTATTATTATTGTTGTTATTGCTATTATTGTTATTATTATTATCATTATTATTATTGTTGTTGTTGTTGTTGTTATATTATTATTTCTTGTAATAAAGCAGAGATTTTACAAGCAAGACGTTTGCAGCTTAAACTGTTTTTAACCAGATGGGACTATTTATTCTATACATGCTGTTTTTAACAGTTAACTGCAGTCATGGGTCTCTTCCCATTCATTTAAATTGGAACCTGGTCTTGTCACCTAAAAAAAAAATCGCCCAAGGGCAAGATGGCAGCCGAGTAGTGAGACTTGCACATAAGGAAACTGTTTCAAGTAGCACATCGAATCAAACGTTAGCTGATGGTTGACAACAGGTTTCACCACATTCATCAGCACCATTAACAGCAGCCCACATCATGAAACAAATCAGAGCCACAGAGATCAGACGGAGAACGTTCCCGTTTTGTCAGCGATGTTCTACACGGTGCCCACCTGCCGCAGAGTCTCCAGCTTCTTCAGCTGTTCGTTGTAGTTGTCCGGATTCTCTCCATAGTTCTTCAAGATGAACTGGAGGAGAAAAAACAAGAGGCAACAAGTAGGTGAATGTGCTGCTTAACATTCAATCGACACTGAAATGATTCCTTTTATAGCTTCAGTTATAATCATATTTAACATTATCTGATATTCAGGATAACTGCTGAGAAAGAAGTCTTAACAACTGATTCAAATAACTTGAAACTGTGGCTAATTAATCATCCTGCTAATCTTTAGTCTTCAGCATAAGCCGAGCGATAAGACTCTCTTACAGTCTGTCTCCCATCATGCTTTGCCAAGACTTTCCCTATCCCTACGAGCCACTATAATAAGCAGCAAGCTCCTTAATGTCAGGTCAGGAGGTGAACAGCCATGCAGTCGAGCTCACTCTTCTACCGGTCCCTCTGTTTCAGTTTATAATTCAATAGTGAGGCAGGAAGGTCACAAGGCCACTGGGAAGATGCACAGTGACACAGCAACAAAACAGAGATCGTCTTGTTTTGACGTCTACAAGCCAAATATGCGCAGTGCCGCCTTTTGTTCGAGGACACAGGAAAGAACGATTGTTAGTTTAGATATATTTTTAAGTAGAAATCTCTCAAACCGAGACCCAGCATTCATAATCTCTGACACCACACCACAGGCTAAGCACCATTAAAAAAATATCTTTCATGTTGTAAGCATTCAGTTAATGGTATTTGCCAGAAACAAATGTTCACAAAACATATTTACAGGTTGTTTTTTGTGAATAGTGTGCTCTCAATTGCAGGCAGCATTTCTGAATGATGATCCAGTACTGAAATGAATGACATATTACTCAAGAGGGCAAAGATCTGCTGTGCTTTTTTTTTTTTTTATCTGCATCAGGAAGAAGTCGGAAAATGGGTCACCAGATAAAGATGAATCGGAATGAACTATATTTTCTTTCCTGTAAATATCAGACACATGAGCTTTGGAGCAGGGTGTGTTTTTTCAGCGCTGTCATCCCAACTGAAGGAAGTCAGCGTGCCTCAAAATGTGTAATTATGTGATTTTTTGTTTTGAAATTCAACAGGTCAACCATGAAATCCCTTTTAAATATCACACTCCAGTCTGGCCTGACGACACCAGGCTGTCGTAAAACCTGAAAACAAAGCTCAGACTTCTCTGTTGCTCGCTTCAAAGGCTCACATTAACTGTGTTCTCTCCCAGGACAGATTTAAAAGTGAATGAAGAGCTGTAATATCAAAAACATCGATGTCATCCAGCATCCGCATTTCCTCTTTTTGTTTTTGTTATCTCCCTTACGTGTATGTTTTTTTCCCTATTAATTTTCATGTACATGTTTTGCATTTTGTGTGGTTATGTTTTAACATGTACTACAGACAGGAAACCTACTGAACACCAGCTTTCTTTTAATCCAAGCAAGTAGTGTAACAGGTGGAATGTAGTAACTTCATTACACTCTAACTACAGAATGATTATGCACAATACATATACAGGCCCTGTGTTAACCTGTTATCCATGTTGACAGGATCATAAGTCTTTATTACTGTGTCAGGGATCCTAACTTAGTGAGGAAGCTGCTGAGCTCGCCCAGGTGCATGTGACAATGAGATCACTGTTTGTTATTTTCAGGTCTGACAGGGCCGGTTGGAGCCTGCCTCGCTGTTTTACGAACATGGACACTTGCCTTCACCGAGTGACATGTTTGGATAATTTCTCTGAAGTTAGTCACTTAGCCGAGGGCTAATTAGGAACTTCAAATTCGGCTGCTAGCTTGTAATTAGCTAGCAAGCAGCTAGCTAACGTTAGCAAACAAAAGGCGGTGGTCAGGGGGATTTGCCAGCTAGCTGGCCAGCTCCCCGTTCTGGAAAATTCTCTGATCCCCGACAGGCAGCGACAACTAACTGCTTGAACTGTGGCTAATGATAGCTCCTTGCTCGGGTTATCCACTCGTCCGTAATCCTTGTTTGGTTGACTTTCGACCTCAGCCCTGTTGCTCCATTCCCCACCCAGCTCACCTGCCTCACGGACGGGCTGAACTGGAACTCCCCAGCCTCCTTCAGGTCCAGCCAGATCATCGGCATCCGGGGGACCGCCTCCATCGCGGCCGACTGTACACGAGGACCGTCAGCCGGTACGATGTTCAAATCCCGTCGGTACTTCAGTGGCCGTTAACGGTTTTCCAGAAGATAGCTTTCCCCCAAACAACTGTGTCATGTATCCATTTACACTTCGACCGGAAGTTGGGAACGTACGTGACGTAGGCCTCAAATACGCGCCGCGGGGGGTTCTGGGAAATGTAGTCAATGAAAACTAGCTCTTCCGTTTTGTGTCGTCGCAGTGGAAGCAAAGTAAAAGTGTATGCTTGTGTTTTTATTGTCAAACACAATTCCTCCACATTACCTGGCACTCAACAAACAATGTCCTTTATGTCAGTAACGTTCACTTTAATTAATGCTCAAGTAGGAACTCTTTCTGTGGATTATCGTTCAAACCAATTAACGCATTAACAACAAGTGATTAAAAGAGAAATTGGAAATGCAAACATCTTTAATTCTGTCACAACTGCTGCCGTTAAATAGACCTTTTTTTTAAAAAAAAATCGTATTAATTTTTATATGTGTATTTTTTCAGTGTCATTACACATTACAGTGGAAATACAGTTTTTTGGTCTGGTTAGGGTCCGAGCACACCAGTGCAAGGACCCTATTGTAACCGTTGTGATTATTATTATTATCATTA